CTGTAGTTAAGGAGTCTTAATGGGTACAGGCAGCTCTGAACTGTGCCTGTTAAGGATATGTTTGAGAAAGTATCTGAAGATTTAGGGTAATGAAATTTGAGTATCAGAAGAACTTTAATTCTTGAGGAGGCAAATGTTATTTCTGGCGTTACGGAGTATAGGCACCGATCCAAGCACACTGAAGTCAATAAAAAGCCTCCGTCTGGCTTCACTGAGTTTTGAATTAAGTCCTCAGAATGTTTGATAAACTAAAAATGTTACAGCAAGCTTCTGGGGTTCACCATTGCCTTACGACAATAGGTCCTGGTGCGATCAGGCAGAGGTGTTTCACGAAAGGGATTTGCTACATGTACAAAGAGCAGAAAGCTGCTTCATTCTCTTTGTTGTTTGTTACCATTAATTTGACTTGGGATTGGGAAACATTTTTTACACGTTAGCATTGTTTTTCTATTGTGTATTTTCTGGTACGATTTAAATTATGATGAAACTTGCTGTTGCATATAATAAAAAGCAGTCACCACCTGCTGGGTAAATGTCTTGGTACTGGGGATACGCATGAAATACTTGGAAGTGCTGAAATACAGTTGGGTTTATTTTCATTGCGAGTTGTTATTTTGTTACGACGCAAGGTGGCAATGACATGGAAACACTCATTAGATGAAATAGTCTAGAATGTCTTTTGGTCAGTTTTCTGCTTCAAATCCATGCTTGATATATACAGCTTGGCACCTGGGTATACATACAACTATATGTGTGACAACATTTGGCATGTCCTGTGGATTATGCTTGGCAGTGCCTCTTTGTAGCGATGCATAAGTGCACAACTAAGTATTACTGTCCCCTAAACAGATAGGGAATTTAAGTCAGAGGAATCGGACAACCTGCCAGAGGTCACAGCAAAAGAGCTGAGATAAAAACAGAGACATTTTTGATCCTCAAATGTATATAGGTACAGCTGTAGAGTATAAACTCCTTCTATATCAGTGGCTACATGCGCAGATGTGCACATACACGTGCAGCATCCTCCCCCATGCTGCAGTAGAGGGAAGGGTCCTTTAGGGGACTTGGTGTGTACTTTTAGTTTGCTGGGAAGGCAGTGCTTTTTTCCTTCTCAGAGAAACCATAAAAAAGGGTGTAAAGTTGCCAGAAAGCATCAGGAGACTCTTGTTTTATTGTGGCTTTGGATATGGTGAGGCTTGTGGTCATTTCTGCAAGTGGTGCATGTCCATCTTCTTGTTCGGTTTGCCTTCTGTGGGCAGAGCTGTCTCTGGTCAGCGGTGGCTGTGTGTCAGCGGAGCTCGGCTGCCGCGGAGGGGTGCAGCTCCCAGCTCTGCTGTGCCGTTTGTGGGACCCTCAGCAGCTTTTCATCTTTTCTGCGCTGCAGTGACGGTGCAGTCCCTGAGCACCCGCCTGCCCCAAGCTGCCGTGGAGCTCTTCTAGACCATTAGTGGTCTATAAGTGAACTAACCCAAGATGCATTAACCCACCAATAAAATTAAAACTCAATAGATGCAAAGTGCTCTCAAATTCACTGGGGAAAAAACAAACAAAACCCCACTGAACAAAAATCAGGAGGAAATAGTTTTGCTAGCTTCTTTGTATTAAGATCAATGCTGCTGCTATTAAGACCAACAGTGCTTTTATACCCAGTGGAGGGCTTTTCAGTTCATGAGATTGGGCTGTATCTTTGTAAAATCCTGGCGTTCATGACTGACTCTGGGTCCATTCCAGTGCAAAACAGCCTGAGTGAGCCCTGTGAGCCACCCAGAGCCCCAGACGTTTACTTATCCTTATCAGGTGCAGCTAACAAAACCACCGGGAAGGTATCCTCCTCAACATTGAATGGACCCTGGCAAGGACAGCAGGGCCCAAGGGGAAAAAAAAATATATATTTAAAAAAAATAAAAATCAGTGTACTTGCAACCTTGAGCTGTGAAGCTGCCTACTAAGTGAACAACTCATGCAATTTAACTCCCTTCTTCCTGTGTTGCAGTGCTCTTAATTTTGGGGTTCTTTGATCCACCTATTCATAGCTGTGAAGCGAGCAGAATTTAATCAGGCTCTGACAGGGGATGGTTGATTTTAATACCGGCCTCCAAAAAAGAGCTGTCAATCAAGGATGAGCTTTAATACCTTCAACTTGCAGCTCCTTTAAACTTCTGCTGCAGTTGAGTGGTGCTTGGTCGGCTGTGGAGGAGCCAGACACCTACAAAAGGCGGTGGGAGCTCCTTGGGCATGCCTGGGGGGGGGTCGTCCCTGGGGACTACTCCCTGCCCTCTGTAAAGGGGCGGCATGAAATGTCTAATCAAGTTGGCATTTCCTAGCCACATGAGAGGAGAGATTTCCTCTTTGAATAAGGAGCGGCTTTCATAAGTGCGCATCCCAAAAGGCCTGCTGAGCTTTTGTGAGCCAGCACGCAAGGCAGGTTTGGAGTCACTTGGATTAAACCTTTCCTTATTGTAGCTGGAACAGGAACAGTGAGGACAAGGGTTACTTTCCATACCTAATTTCAAGTTATTTTAGCTGTGGATGTTAGATAAAACAGTCAATGACTGGCAGGATGATAGAATATGGTTTAATTTCAGATTTACTATCTGCCAACACATGCCATTCAATCAAATAAACACAGGATTTCAGCTGTCATCACAATATCTTATGCATACTTAAAAATAGAGCACTTTTTCTCACACCAAGAAGAAATTGAACAGGTTTATATATAGGATGTATACAGTCAGGAGGCTAGAAATTTTGAAATAGTCTGCCGTTTCTAGAGAGATTCCCTATCTTTAAATTAAGGAATTATATTAGAAGTAGTAGAAATTCTCAGGATTGCAGAATTTTTATCATTGTCAACTGCACAGAATAAATAGAAGTAAAGGGAACACCTTGAGAAGTTGAACTATGTAAAGTGAGGGGAATGTCTGTAGTATTTACGGCAGAGGATATGAGACTATATAGAGAGCAAGATGACTGAGAACAACTCTGCGTGGGAATGTAATCCCTCCTCTGGTTTACAAGTTTCCATCCTTGCTCTTTTGTCTGTCCTGGGCCTATCACTGTAACGCATGAATATCTGCTTCGCTCGGGAGGCGGAGATAGAAGATGGCAATCTAGGATCACCCTAGCACTATCCTAAACCAATTTTCACAATAAATGTAATTCAAGCATTCACTGTCTAAAGCTTCCCTCCTGAAAACACACAACTTTACTTAGGTGGAAACTCTCATATAGGTAAAATGTGGCACCACTTATCACCGGTGCTTTATGTTATAAATTTGTGAGTACACAGATGAGTATGGCTTTTTGGCTTGAGCACTTAACCAGTATTTGGGTTCTTTACTATATCTCTTGTGAAGAGTAGCTGATGATACAGTCCGGCATATTTTTAAGGTCTAGCCTGGTTTGTTTACGAGGGATACACAGAACAGCTTGTTTCTGTGAACATCATATGAGCAGACAGCAACAGGCAGTTTTCTTGCTGACAAATCTGCCGATATGCTTCCCTGGCAAGCAGCGTCTGCCCAAGCTCTGCCCTGCTGCTTTCTCTCCAGCTCACAAGCCTCTTTCTTCCTTAACGCCCACATAACCTGTACCTTCAGTCTCTTATTTCCTACCTAGTTTGCTCTTTCAGGTTTTGTAGTCAGCTTTGATTCAGAGATGTCCTTGTTAGCAACTACTAGCATTTTCCAGCATAACCGATTATTACCTGCTTTCGTTCTCTTCTGTATTCTACCAGGCTGCTCCAAAATGAGCTCTAAAATAACGTCCTGAGCTGCTCAGCATAATGGTATCTTTGAAGCCAAGACTTGTACTTTGCTTCGAAGAGCAGCTCTAGCAAAAGGACAGCATTTTCTACTGAAGATAAGGGAAAGAAGGCATTTTTTTGAGAGCGTTCCTCCCGACGGTTTCCCTGCAGGGGGGAGGCTGGTGCTTTTTCTAGCTCCTCTCTTGAGGAGCTCTGCAACAACAGATCGGCTTATTGCCCATGGAGACACGAGGACAGCATAATGCCAGCTAAGATGCTGAATTTCCTATTGCTTGGGCTTCATCCCTTTCTGGTTAAGCTCTCATGCACTTCAGAGAAAAACTTGATTATCAGGTTGCGGGTCCCTCAGCTCAGCTGTGGGAGGGTCTTTTTGACTTCCACAGCTCCCTCCTGGAGCTGGGTTTTGGCTGCAGAGGCAATTTGTGCTGGGCTATGCAAACAGATAAAACAAAGAAATAGCAGGGCTAGAGTGAAGTCCAGTGTGGGTGTTTTTCAATCTTAAAGGCTTTGGAATTCTGTTTGTTTTTTATTTTGTTTGGCCTTTTTTTGGTCTCTCTTAGAAAAGCCTTTCACATACAATGATCTCCCAAACAATTTATTTGAAAACATTGGTGGGTGGCACGTACGTTATGGGCTGTGGTTTCATTGATATGCTCAGCCTCGCTAAGTAGATGGCATATTAAATGTTTTATTTACCCTGTGTGCTACCTGTCATCTAATCAGCTTTTGTTTTTGCTGCATTCTGCTTGTATTATAGCAAGAGTAAGTGGTTTCATGTAAATTAAAACCGCATGAAACCTTTTAAAGCCATTTTAAAATACTAAATGGTTTTGCAAATAGGTTTGTCGGACAAGGGTTGGAAAAAGAGCTCTTTGCTTACCCATTTACTCTTTTGTGTGCTTATTAGAAGCCCCCCATGTGACTCTTTCATCAAACATTGCATCCCAGTACTCATGTAGAATGCCAAAAGTCATTTGTACTGTGCTCAAGAGTGGTTTGCATAAACAGGAGGCAGTTAACAAAGAATACAGTTGTGAGCTGCGATTGCAAATGTTATTTTATACATTACAACACAGATGCACAATAAAGTCAAAACATGTATCCCTATGATGTTTTCTTGCTTGCCTGATGCATGAAAGTGTGTTGGCTTAAAAGTTTCTTTGCTTTTATTAACTATTATTGCCAGTGTTTATGGTTGCGATCATTTCACTGTGAATAATTTTGTTTCTTACAGGTGGATCGTATCATCTTCTGCGTCTTTTTGGAGGTTGACTACAAAATTTTCAAGAAGAAAATGGGCGAGTTTTTCCCTCTAGGTAGGTATAGTAATCGAGTGCCATCTGACTTTAAAAAATGATGCAGCAGAGACAACAGTTGGCGACCTTTCTTCTTTCCCTGCCCAAGCCAAATATTAAAATGTGAACTTTCTTTAAAGATCAACTGGACATAGAGGCTCTGATCCTGGACAAATGCAGACATTTAAAATTTGTGAACTGGTAAAACTACTTGTGATACTGCTTTTGCAAAATCAAGGCCTGCTTTATATGCTCAGTACAGCTAGTTTCTTCATTCTGTGCTGTATCCGTATCTCCTCCCGAAACCTGGTGCGTGGCACTGCTGTCTTGACTCTGAGAAGAAAATGATTTGCACTAATGTATATAGCTCCTAGTGTATATTGCTTTTCCATGCACTTTGTACATGCTTTGCTCTTTCGTTAACGATGCTGGTAGGGTTTTTCTGGGTCTGAAAAGATACCGCAGGGGTTAGAGCCCAACTGTGTCTGAATGAGAACTTTAAACTTGAGCTGTCCCTGTGCAAGAATGAATGGGAGAAAGATGGCTCTCGCCGGAGCACTTGGGAAATGTTAGCCATTCATCTTGCGTTTCACACAGGAGGTTACTTTCTAGAATTTAAGAAAACCTGGTGGATAGTAAATTTGTTCATCCCCCTCCCCCCCATATGCCTGTGATTTATTTTTATCGTATATCATTAGAAATGTGTTCCATTTTTTTATCAACCCTAACCTTCTCCTGTTCTATTTTGTTTTCTATTACATCAGTCCTACTATATGTGACAAGATCCAGATTTTAGGATTTTGTTTTATCACCCACTTCAGAAGTGGCAGTCACTTAAATACTCCCCATGCTGTCTGTCTGTCTGGTGGAAAGGGCCTTTGAGTAATAGGAAGCAGAACTTTGGTGTGTTGTATGTCTCCGTTAATTCTACAGGACTGTGTTGTCACAGTAGCTGCAGTGGTTTTCTCCTTTTGCTTTGGCTGGTGGTATGGAAATTGTGATGTTTCTGTCTCATCTCACTAGAACAAAGCTTTTTGTAGACGACTTTGTAATCTCCAGTTTGCAATGATTGGCAGCTGAAACTTAATACCTATTGAATAATTCAGGTAGCAGAGAATGGTATCTAACCGCTTAATAATATTTTTGTCTGGAGCACATTGAACATGCGTTTCAAAGACTGCATTCATGTCTAATCCATTCATTGTGTGACTTTATTTTTTTTGGCAGCGTACCCCAGCACATAGGATAAAGTGGCAGTATCCTGCCTACTGTTGCTGGCTCTGTCCCTGCCCTTCAGATTAAGCGAGAGTAGACTACAGTGTCAGTTTGTCAACAAATTAGAGCATTAATACTCACCTTCACCGTTAAGGTCTTTGAAATCACAGATTAAAGCCTGTTGTTAATATTGTTGTTATAAATGTAAAGCCCACTTGCGTTTGAAAACCTGAGAGACAGGAAGATGCTTCAGAGCTGAAGCATGGCAAGACCAAAGGGGAAAAGAGAGAAAGATGAGAGATTTATTTCTTTTGGGGGGGTTTCAAAACCTGACATAGTTGAACTCCTGTCTATAGAGAACCTGTGTGGTTGGGTGTCATGTTATATAAAGACTTATAATTGCATTACACCACATTATATAGATAATCAGTTGTACCATAGTTTTAAAAGTATGTTTATTCTCATGCATGGAAAGTTTTTACATTTTTATTTGCTGGAACTAAAACCGGGAATTTCATATGTGACCATAGAGAGGTGGTCATGGTGGGGATCCTCTAAGGTACAGCAAATCCCGTGGTTTGCAGGTATGTGACTATGCAAAAGGTTGATCCAATGCTTACACAGACAGCTGTCCAGAGAAAGATGTTTTAGTTCTCAGCAGCCACAATTTGGTATAGATCACTAAAAGATCTCAGGACCCATTTTCATAGGCTCCCTGCTGCAATTTTCTCATAACTAATAATTCTGAACACCAGTTTTGATATGCCTTAATGATGCTGGTTTCCAGAAGGACCTGAGCACCTACTGGCCCGTGAGCTGGAGCTTTAAAAGAAACCAGTTTAGCATCTAAAACTTTATCCCTGACTCAGTGAAGGATTTCCTGTGGTTAGGTCTGTAGTCAGTGATTCGGGAGATGTGATTTTAACGTATCACCACGGACGTTTGGTATGCCCTTATAGGAGTCACTTAGATCTTCAGTTGGTGAGGAGACAGGGAGAGGCAGGAAAGATACATGCTACCCAAATGACTCTCCATTACTGTCCCTGGAGAAATGATCGGTATCTGGGTCTCTCTCCTGGAGGAGCGCCCTAATGATTAATATACAGTCTCAGGCTTTCTTTGCCGTCTTGAATTGGCACTTTTCTGCAGTGTACCACCACTTCAACAGATGTCAGCTGAAGTCAGCCCCATCCTAAATTGCCTGTAGCCTACTGGTGAGAACATGAGCTGAAGGTCTGGATGGTAATCACCAGATGACCATCATGTCTGCTGTTTGTTCCGTTTTTCTGATCTCTTGTGAATTGCCATCTGCATTTAACATAGTAGACTTTGACGAGTTCTCAGCAGACTCTCCTACTGCAGGGATATTCCATCTCTTTGCAGGACTGGTTTCTTGCACAGAGGACTTTGTCAACGTGGCTCTGTGTCAAGGAATTAGCAACTGTCTCTACCTTTGGCAATAAATTCCTGATGTTTAGACTGTGGAAGCAATTGCCAAAACTGGTGTTTTTGTTTCGTTTTTAAGTGAATCTATTAATGTAATGAAATGAAAGTCTTTAAGGATAGACTTGCCCTAAATTTAAATTGATAGGACACTATCTGAACACTCACAGGAGAGAATAACACTGAGATATTACTTTAAGCTTAGAGAAAAAACATCGAGACATTTTTAAAGTGTGTCTCACATTCAGAAACATGATGAAATATATCTACTTTAATATATGTGGATAAAAATGCTTAGAAAGAAGAATATATTCATGGAGTTATATACATAAATAGTTATTACTTTAAACCCAGTGCATTAATAAATCCAAAAAGACATCCGAGTGCTTGAGCTAGTCAAGTGATAATGAAGTGAAGCTAGAGTTACACCTCAGTGCATTAGAGTAAGTGGAATATAGATATAGGGAAATTGTTCCATTAGTTGAACATATCGTTAGGCCTATTTTGCGAGTGGAATGCCAAAGAAATTAGTCGAGTAATAGTACTGGTATTAAGACAACTGCCAAAAGCCTTGTCATTTGCAAACTTTAAATATATAGGGGTAAGAGGCAGACTTCTAAGTAATTTCATGTCTTAGGAGCAAAGCTGTTCAATAACAGAGCAGTTGTCACAGTCTTAGCATTTCTGATTTAATCTCAGTAATCAGTAGCCTGTACAGAACCCAAGCCAAAGCCAGCGTGCTCCAAGGGGGCATGCCACTTAATCTTTAACTCAGACTTAGCATCTCATCCTAGTGGTTGTCCGGAAGATCCCTGGTTTAGAAGGTAAAGGGTCCTGGTCCACACAGAATTTTCTGTTGAACCTCTGGGGTTTTGCTGAGAAGTTTTTGTATGTCCTGGTAGAAAAAGAGCAAGGGTGGAAGACTGTTTCTGTAGAACAAACAGCCTTCTGTGCTTAAGATGGATCACTGTTTTAACATATTAGGTGCAACAAACAGTGAATTTTTATTTATTTATTTATTTATTTATTTTTAACCAGTTGAGTCCTATCTCCTAATGGAATGAGATAGCCGAGCCATTCTCCCTTCAGATGTGTTGGGAAATTTCTCTCTGCTTCATCTGAGAGAATGTCTTGCTACCTGTCTTTCAGGGAAAGAAAATATCCTTACCTGCAGTTCTGGCTCAGATGTGTAGTTTTTACATCGCTGGATTCATTGCTATTAGTATTATGAGTGAGCTTTCTGGGAAAGGAGCTGATACTTGTACCATTTTTTCTCTTGGAATTCATTGTTTCTTCTAACAGAATTCTACATGGAGCCTAGATACTAGGCATTACTTTTATTGCTAAATATATATATTTATAAGACTGACCAGGAAATGCTATAAAAGCAGTCCCCCTTGAAAAGCTAGGTTTACCAACATTTACCTTACAGTGATACGTACTTCTAGGATGCTATTCGTAGGAGTAAAATTAGGGGTATTTGTAAACAGTTTGCCAGCTGGAGGCAAAGATATCTTTTTTTTTCCTCCTGCATACTGTGTATACCTAGCTACTTAATATGTCAGATAGATAATCTTGTAAGGACCTTTGGCAAATGCTTATTTTTCATGGTGGCTGTTGTATATTATGAAAGGTTTATCTTAAATTGTAATGCTTAAGGTATTTCTAAATCTACCACCTGTTATCAGTGGATTGGAGAGGTGAATCATTTTTTCTGAAAATGTTCTTTAGACAAAAATAACGTTATAAAGGGTAGGTACTGGGAAGCTGCAGCATTCAAGGTTATATTACATTCTTACTACTTTAAACAGAGTAACAAAATTACTTCACTAAAGCATCGCTAAAATTGTTAGAAAGAGGACAGGTTTGCACTTTTATTAGACCAATTGATAGATGGAAGATGCAAGCTTTTAAACTCCGTATCCTTTCAGAGCTAATGAAAGGATGCTGAGCCCAAGAGCTTGTTCATTTTTTTTGAGCCATATCAGTTGGTGTTAGGAGAAAGAGAGAAATTGCTTCATCTTGAAAAAACTTTCTCTCCTCTCTGTTCCAGGTTACGACATTTAGTGCATTTTCTGCTTTTATCCTGGTTGATGAAAACACTGTTCCCCCTGCCCAAAGCATATGGATAAGAGCTACTGTCTTATATTAAACCTCCTGTTACTTCAGGAGGATGCATAGCATCCTAGTTGTGCATAAATGTGCAAATATATTACAATTACAGAGGAAATTCATTGTTAAGAGATCTACCAGGCTTGGAATCAAATTGGAAACTGTCTAAATGGCTGAATGAAGGGCTTTGTATTAAAAAGGCAGATCCCTGCACTAATACGTGAGTGAACTCTTAAGCAGAGATTGTAATT